GTCCGGGAGAGAGCCGGGAGCGGGAGCCGGGCCGSCTGACAGCTGCATTATCTCCCTTCCACAAAAGGCCGGAGAGCCAATGGCGCGGAGAGGGCGGGGCCTGGAGTGAGGAATTAGTGATAAAACAGCCCCAACCGCACCGTTTGACACCTGAACGCAGCGCGGGGCTCTGTGGGTTTCATTGGAGTCTTTGGGGTCTTTTTTTGGGTTTTATTTTCCCTCGTCCTGAAAGGGCAAGGTGACGGGGTCGGCGGCATTGTTCAGCCGCGGGGGAACTGCAGAGGTTTGCGCAAAACTTCCCGCGGGGGCTGGGAAGGGGAAATAAAGGTTGGGAGAGCGAGAAGAAAATGGAAATAGGGCTGAGAATAGGAGCGGGGTGGGGCGGGGCCGGGGCAGGTGTGGAACAGCTGGATCGGGAACAGCTGGATCGAGAGGGGAAACGGCTGGATCGGGAACATCTGGATCCGGAAGGGAACATCTAGATGGGGATGGSAACATCTGGACCGGGATCCCCTGCCGGGAGGAGCAGCACGCAGCGGGCCCGACAGGAAAGCGCCACTCGGGGCCATCCAACGCTGTCCCTGTCACACCCGCCGTGTCCMGGTGAACGATTTCCACCCCGCGCCGATGAAGGCGAGCCCTTCCCGAGGAGCCTTTGCAGATTCGGACGCTCCCCTTTGGAAAATCTCCTCCTCGTTCCGGAGAGGCCRGGAAGCACCGGGCAGCCCTGGAGCCGTGGTTCCCGGGATGAACGGGGCGTTCGGAGCACGGAGAGCGAGCCGCGACGTGACCGGAATGGGAGAAACCTCGGGAAGGCGCAGCTGCGCCCGTTAAAGCCGCGATGGAGCTCGGCCCCGGCCCCGCTCCGGGAGGGGCATTCTGGAGGAAAACAAAGCCAAGATTAATGAGCCGGCTAATTGCRAGTTTTCAGGAGCCCCAGTTCGTTTTCTCCCCGGGGTAATTAGGCACACGCTCATTCCGCGTTCCCGCGGCCCCCAAACGCCCTGAGCTCACCCCAAGCCGCTCTCGGTTTCCAGCAGGGAAAAAAATAGGGKTTTTTTCCTAAAAAACACCTTTAAGGTGTTTTTCAGCCCCGCCTGACTCTGGCCTGATGCAGCTGGGGGGCTCGGTGTGGTTTTAAATTTAAACTGTGGGGTTTTGTTCCGTCTGCAGGTAAATCCAAAGTTCCTGTGAGTAAAATTGAGCTTCAAGCTCCCTCAGGGCTTCAGGAATCCCAGAATTTTCAGAATTCCAAAATTTCAGTGCCAGAATCCCAGAATTTCCAGCATCAGAATCGCAGAATTTCCAGCATCAGATTCCCAGAAGTTCAGCGTCAGAATCTCAGAATCCCAGAATTCCAGCATCCGAATCTCAGAACTCCAGCGTCAGAATCTCAGAATTCCAGCATCAGAATCCCAGAATTTACAGAATCCCAGAGTTTATAGAATGCCAGAATTTACAGAATCCCAAAATTTCAGCGTCAGAATCTCAGCATTCCAGCGTCAGAACCCCAGAATTTACGCGTCAGAATCTCAGACTTTCCAGAATCACAGAATTTACAGAATCCCCCAACTTACAGAATGCCAGAATTCCAGCTTCAAAATCCCAGAGTTTACAGAATCCCAGCATTTCCAGAATCC